GGACAGTCAGGGGGAAGATTCCGAAGCGCTTCCCGAAAGGAAGCTGCTTCCCGATCAGCAGCTCCCCGCACCTGGAATGACAGTGTTCACTGGCGTGAAGTGATGCCTTCCAGGTCTTTGCAGCTCTCACTGCCAGAGGGGTGTGTGGCTGCCTTGTGCCTCAGTTTCTTTTTCTGGAAAGTGACCACTTTGGGGTGTTCCTACCCCGTACAGCCACTGTGCCCCTTCTGTTCATCTTTATTCCTTTTCTCTCTTCTCATTACTATCTGGCTCTTCTCTGTTTGACAGCTATCCCTACTCCTTGACTTTCTCTCTTGGATCCAGCAAATGGGGTTTTTTTCTTCCACTTATACTTTTTTTCTCCATTCTCATTTCTCTCTCACTGTAATTCCTGCCTCATTCTTCTCACTGATCTTGTCACCTTTTCCATCTTTGTGAGAGAGACTGTGCTGTTTTGTTTTGTTTTTTGCGGTACGCAGGCCTCTCACTGTTGTGGCCTCTCCCGCTGTGGAGCACAGGCTCCTGACGCGCAGGCTCAGCGGCCATGGCTCACGGGCCCAGCCGCTCCGCGGCATGTGGGATCTTCCCGGACCGGGGCACGAACCCGTGTCCCCTGCATCGGCAGGCGGACTCTCAACCACTGCGCCACCAGGGAAGCCCTATGTCCTACTTTTTAAATCTCTTCCTTTGTTCCCCAAGGTCTGTCCTTGTCCCATCATAGACAGCCAAAGACACCAGGGAACCCTATGTCCTACTTTTTAAATCTCTTCCTTTGTTCCCCAAGGTCTGTCCTTGTCCCATCATAGACAGCCAAAGATGAGTTACCCACTTTGGGGGATAAGAGACTAAGGTGAGTTAGTTTCAAAATCTGAGACTAAGGTGGTGAATTCTTGACTTCTAAGATCAAAGTTACCATTCCGATGTAAAACCAAAAAGTTATGAAGGGGGATGCTATCTAGCGTAATCAATTTTTCTTTGAATCCCCTTCAAAATTCTAAGTGAGAGGAAAGTTTAGAGGAGAATCAGTAGAGATTACAAAGGGCTGTCTTTGCATCTACCCCCTTCCATCTGAGTCCTGAAGGTGGAGCAATGTTAGATATATGCTTTTTCTAAGACGGAGAATTCCAGAGCAGAAGTGCATCACCTGGATACCCACTTGGGCGTCAGAAGCACTCAGGAAGTTAGCCAAGAAAGACCAAAAGAGAGAGAACTGTGGACCCAAAGAAGCCTGGGGCTTGAGGTGACTCACGTGCATATGAAGCCCGGAGGCCATGACGGGCACTTCAGTGGGAGCAGTGAGGACAGAAGCCAATGACTCAGCAGTGGAAGAGGTCACATCTAAGGGCTGGATGAGACAGACTACATTTCCAAAGATGCTAGAACAGGTGTGAGACAGATCAAGAGGGAGAAGCAGATGCAAACAACGGCTCCTGAAACTCAGGGTATGCGTCCCTTACCTCAGTTGCCATCTGGGAAAGCAATGAAGGGGGTAGGAGAGAATGTTTCAAAAATCTCAAAGTGACCTAGTTTTAAAATTCAAAGTGACTACATTAAGTTTCTGCAAACCAGGAAGAAAGGGGCTTTAATATAACTTTTCTAAGTTATAGGAATATAGATTTTTATTCCCCAGCAGCCATGACTGTGAGACTTAACACTTGCCATAGAACATCGGAGATCACAACTTTGTTTCTATAGATGAGGAAACTGTGTCCCAAGGAGAAAGATGGGTGATTCATGGTGACACTGCTATGTGTGGGCACAGCCAGGAGGACAGCCCAGAACTCCCGAGTCTTATTCCAGGGTACCCAGCATCACAGAGGGTTGCTTCCTGTGTCTATCAAACTCTTGCAGAACGTATCAGCCTCACAGATGTAGCAAATGTAAGAAAATATCTCTCTAGCTTTTTTTTTAATAGAACATACAGTTAAGCTTAGAAGCCAAATTTCACTGTCTCATGATGGTCAAGTAACAGGGGACATAAATCAAAATGAGTATTTTTGGCTAATGAATGTCATCTTCCTCCCTCCCTCCCTCTTTCTCTCCCTCTTGCTCTCTCTCTCTCTCCCTCCCCCTCCCCACCCTCTCTCCTTCCTACTCCTGACACATTTCTTAGCATACAATTCCTCAAGGTTGGTTGTAACAACTTTAAATCACAGGGAGGCGTTCAGAAGAGTCAGCTGGGATACAAGAGGGTGGCAGTTTGAGAAGTGGCTTATTTTGACAGGAGCGCTTAGGCATCCGAGGGGGAGAGAGATTGAGGAGCGGGGAGAGGCAGCCCAAATTTCCACCTTCTGATGATGACATCCCTGGGTAACAGTGCAGTCCTTCTGAGCCATATCCTTCCACAGATGCAGAAGACAGTGAAGGCAGAGTGCAGCTCAGAAAGCTGGTGTCTGGTACCATGAACCAGGTGCAGCTGACTCAGATCTGAGATGATGAGACTCATTCTTACCCAGCCAGGCTCCAGTGTTCCTGCCGGGGTTGACCAGATTCCAAGTCATCTGTCAGATGTCTTCCTGTTTGTCGTCCATTTGAGTCCCATTTCTCTCCATGAAGCACAAGGAGAGCTGAGATTCCTCAGTGTTCGTGATGCAGGGCTGACATTGGTTTCCAACACCATTGGTCTGTAGGTGGCAACTTGAACTTACGAACTGAAAGTTGAAACTCCCACCTGGAACTATGTCTGCTCATGCAGTCCTGGGGGGTTTCAAAGGGCAGAAAAGAGCAGAGGACAGGCTGCACCACCCAGAGTACCTGTTTGGATTTGTCAGACCTAGAGAATTTAGGAGCTGTTCAATAATGTTTCAATAGAGGCTTGATGGTTGTCCAGTCTTTCAGAGGGGTTGCCCGCTGTGGGTTGAAATTTGACCCAGATCGATTCTGAATCCCTTTGAAGTATTAGAGGTTGTGATTCTAAATGGAGCAGTTGGTCAATGGCTGGGTGATTCAGGCTCCAAAATCACGCATGGCTGAAGCACACAGAGTATTTTGTTTGAAACGTAGGACTGTTCTGTGACTGTAGGGTGTCACACCAAGAATTGCCTCCGGGCTCCACTTTACTTTGGGTTGACAAGATTTCAATATCTGACCATTATGTTAAATATAATTCCTTAAAGCCCAGTACAATTTAAGTGTTTTGCCCCCTCCAAGTTTAGCTAATAGTGTGACACTGAAAAGTCATCTCTCTCTCTGAGCCTTATGCTCACCATTGAAAAGGCAAAAGGCTTTCAAGCATGTGATTTCTATGCTCTCTTCCAAACTTGACAGCCCATGACTGTCTAAAATCTCTATTGTATGGAATTAAAAATTAGCCTTTCTGGAACGAATTCAAAATTTTAAATGTTCATACTTTTTGGCTCAGTAATCCTGTTTCTCATATCAGGATATGAGAAAGTGCAACTTCCTGCCATGATGTCAGGTGAATTGGTACAGTGGGTGGTAGTATTCCTAGAAGCCATTCCTACAAAAGGATGGCAGGAAATAGCCATGAACCACAGAAATATATCTACTAAACCCAAACTAAATGTATCTCCAACTCAACCTCTCCTTAGCTGGATCCTCAAAATGTTCCTTGTCCCTCCAGCATGAAGGGAAGTATGATGGAGGGGAAGTTGGAATGCAAAGAAATGGGAATCAACCAATAGCAATTCAAATATCTTGCTTTTTTAATATTAAAAAAAGTATTTATTTATTTATTTGGCTGCACCGGGTCTTAGTTGTGGCACATGGAATCTTCGTTGCCGTGTGCAGGACCTTTAGTTGCAGCATGTGGGACCTAGTTCCCAGACCAGGGATCGAACCCGGGCCCCCTGCACTGGGAGCGCGGAGTCTTAACCACTGGACCACCAGGGAAGTTCCAAATATCTTGCTTTTTAAACTCTTACAAAACCATATGACCATTTTTCTTCAAGGCTTCGGAAAGGGCCTCTGCAAATGAAGTGTCCCGAAGTGTACGTTTCAGTAGCTTCCTGGTAAGTCAACTTGTGGGTTATTTTAAATTGCCACCTGCTCCCTTCCCGCAGAGCTTCTCCTCTCTCTTATCTGCTTTTCCTACTTCCATAGCACCACCGCTCCTTAGGTACTGTATAATTTACTTATTTATTATGTTTCCCGCTGCTAGATGTTCATTGTTTCTTGTATCTAGAATGGGGCCAGGTGCATAGTAGATGCTCCAAAAAGTTTTGTGAATAAATGAATGAAATAAATAATGCATAAATGAGTGAGTGAATAAACTAAATATAATCTAGGATCAGGATTACCATAATCCAGTATTTGGAAATTAAAAAAATTTGAGTTCTATTCCAGACTCTGCCACTTTACCTTGACCATGTCATTTAACCTTTCTGGGCTTCTGTTTCCTCGTGCATAAAATTAATTGGCTATTTTTTCATTCAGTTAACATCCGTTGCGACACAGCTATGATCAGAGGATACATCATTGTATTCTCTTGTTTCCTTGCTTTCAAATCCTGTTACTCTTGCAGAGCGCGGAACTCGGAGGCTTCAAAATTCCCGCCTCTTCCAGGCCCCGCCCACCCGCCAAGCCCATGTTTAGACTCCTCCCCTAGTCCGCACCGCCTGCCCCAGGGCAGAAGCCCCGCCTTCCCGAGTCGCCGTCATCCAATGGCCTAGATACACGGCTAGGTGAATACCGAGGGCTTTAGGTGTCTTCCTGGCGCCTGACCAGAGTCTTGGGGAATTCGATTGCTCTTGAGTAGTCACTTCCCCGAGCTGGCCGAGCCATATGCAGCATCACCAGCTCCCCGAGGTTCCCTCGCAAGGGTCAGACGAGGCTCCCGAGCCCGGTCGCCCCCTCTCTGGGAGCCCTGGGTCTTCACTGGACGAGGCTCTCTGCACGCGGAATTCTGGGAGTGGTAGTTTTCTTCCTCCTGGTTCCTTCCAGGTACACTTGTGGCCAAGACTCGCAGGACTACCATTCCCAGACGCCCGAGCGAGTCTCAGGTCACGTGGCAGGCAAGGCCGTTGGGCGGGGGCCTGGCCGGTGTTCCGCAGCTGTCTGTAACACCCGGAGCCTGCGGGCCGCTTCGGCCCCCAGAGAAGAGAGCCCGGCATGGTACGCGCGGGCGCCGTGGGGTCGCATCTCCCTGCGTCCGGCTTGGACATCTTCGGGGATCTGCGGAAGATGAACAAGCGCCAGGTAACGGAGTTCCGCGTGGGGGGCGCGTCCGGGAGCCGCGACCGGCTGAGACAGCGGGGAGTTGGAGCTCCCCGGATGGGGCTCCCGCAAGGACGGCGCCCCGCGACTGGGGCCGGTGGCGACCCGAGGCTCCCGCCCTGGGCTCTCGGAGGCCCTGGGTTCAAATCCGCACAGACCCACGTGTGGGCACTTTCTTGCGCTGACAAAAGCGCAATTAGGGGAGCGTGGCCCCGAAGGGGAAGAGAATAGGAACCCCGTCCTTTGGAGGTCGTGTGGTTGAGAAAGCGGGGAGAGATGACTGTACCGCTGGTGACAGCTTTCTGCACGTATTTGAAGGGCCATCCCGTGGAAGAGGGAACAGATTTCTCTGTGGGGTTTCTGAGGCCTGACGTCCTGAAGGAGGCTGCCCGCGGATGGAAGTGGCAGAAAAGCAGGCAAAAGGGGAGAACTTCCTAGCGATGGGAGCTGTCCAGTAATGCCTCCCGACGCGGTTTCTTCCCATCCCGGGGAGTGTTTTCCCGGCCAGGCGTTGGGACTAAATAAAACTCCTCGTGCGGGAGAGCTCACTGGTGGTGCTCCATCATTGTGGACTGAATCAGTGTTCCAAAAGGGATTCCAGATGTCTTCTCTAACTTCATTCTTGGATTCCGTGGTATGGCAGCACCTTGAATATCGGAGGCAGCTAGCGTGGGGTCTTTGGGCGGCTGGAGTTGATTTCTCACCGCTCTGGGAGAGGGCCTCGGAAGACTTCCTTTTTGCCTCTCCTTAGCCCGACCCCGTCCCCCTCTCTCTTTCTTTTTTCCGAGTAGAATTTCAGACTAGTGCAGTAGCGTGGGGGAATTTGGTGACTTGAATCTCATGAACTGTGTTGAGAACCTGGTTGCTTCTAGGTGTGCATGTCAGTTGAGCTCCTGGGAATTTCTGTGATTAAGATGAGTTGTGGCAGAGATTATCACTAGCTGGAAAAACCAACAGCTAATGCCCTGAACATTGATGTGGTTTACAAGAAAATCCTCCAGGAAGTAGAGCTTTACTTAAAAAATCTAGACTTAATTGGGTAGGTTTAAAAAATGTCTCTAGGGCTTCCCTGGTGGCGCAGTGGTTGCGCGTCCACCTGCCGATGCAGGGGACACGGGTTCGTGCCCCGGTCTGGGAAGATCCCACATGCCGCGGAGCGGCTGGGCCCGTTAGCCATGGCCGCTGAGCCTGCGCGTCCAGAGCCTGTGCTCCGCAACGGGAGAGGCCACGGCAGTGAGAGGCCCACATATCGCAAAAAAAAAAGAAAAAGTCTCTAAAATTTGTAGCGATTACCAACTGCAGACTATCACTGAACGCCTTCTGATGAATCTGTCAATCGCTAAGCCAGTTTGCCTTTTGAAAGCTCTGTATATTCCCACTCTCAGTGATAAGGCCCGTTAGTAGCTGGTTGCATTGTCTGTTTTGCTAGTCTTCTAATTAAAATCCAGAAGCTCAAATCTGCTGCCTCCTTGTACATTTTTTTTTTTATTTAAGCTTTGTCCTTTTGCTTTTTTCTTTTTCCCTCCACAATAGCATCCTGTGACACCTTATCAGGCATGCTCGCTCCACCAGTCTTGGAAGAGGGACCTCCTTTTTCTGCTGCCCTTGCTTACAGTTAATTAAGGAAAGAGCCACATGCAAAAACAAGGACTCTTTGTTTCTACAGTGAGGAAGAGAGGAAGAAAAACAGCCACTGGCATTTCTGCTGCTTTGTCAGCCACAATATCTGGTCTGAAACGTTTGTTTAAAACCCGTAGACATTGGCTATTTCATCTTTGCTTGACAAAGACTGTGAGCTTGCTTCTAAACTCTGCTGGGATGATTAAGTGCCAAGCATACAGAGTTGGTAGGCAAAGATGAACAATAAGAAAAGGCACCAGTGAAATGTGGGGTGTATATTTCCAATCAGCTTGTCAGTAGTTCCATCAAAATTACATTTTCTATATTCCAGGATTTCAGTCCTAGACTTAGATAGATGCTAGGTCCCTTAAAGATAGGGTGCTGGAAGGGTGATGTGTGGTTTTGCAGTTAGCTTGATTGTTAGGTTTCTATATAATTGGCTATCTCTTGAGCAAATAAATGTCTTGCTCAGAGAAGGTTTTTTTTTTTTTTAGGAATTGATTTTATTTCCTCTCAATGAATTTTTCAAGCATAGAAAATCATACTGGAAAATATATTCTCAGTACATGGTCTTTATTAGGTAAGTGGCAATATTGTATAATTTTCTTTTATCAGGGTGGAGCCCGATGGTTTGAAAACGTGTATAAAGATGGTAGTCTCTGTAGAAAACCATGCCTTGGGGCTTTCCTAATCAGAGCTGCAGTTCATAATGAAACAACAGTTCTTTACTAAATCCTTTAGATCAAGCAGAGCAGGTGGTGAAGTTTTTGAACGTGAACGCCAGTGAACAACTTCTGCTTCAGGCTGATGTGGCTAGCAAGGCTGATTTTACTTTAAGCAACAGTTTAACATATTATAGCCCAACACTTGAACAATGTCCGTTTAGCACTCCAGTTTCCTTTTTTGCTCTCTTGGGAATTTAATTTAATTCGATAATTTGCTATTGACACTTAAGCCAAGGAGTTAAAAAAATGGTATGTAACTTTAATTTTGAGTTACGTTTATTATCCTATTTTCATTTATTACATCGAAATAAGTTACTTTAATGCACCTTTTGTCCCCACTTTTGTAACCTTCACGATTACCTCAAATTACATACTTGCACACAGTTGTAATTTTAGCAAGAGACAGTTTTGAGCTTTGCTTTGCTTTTCTTCCTATCATATCAGAATGTTTTCATGTTTTGTCACACTCTTCAAAATGATTATTTTAATGGCCTCTATCTTGTCAAATTGCTCTTCCTTTAAATACTTCCCTACCCCCTCCCAGATTTTGAAATTAATCTATGCTCATCATAGGAATTTTAAAGAATAGAGAGTAGTTTAAAGTAGTTTAAATAAGACAGTCCAATCATTCATACTTCCACCATGCTGAGATAGACTCTTAGCATCTTGCGGGATCTCCTTGTGTTTGCTTTATAAACTGTTAAACAGTTTGTGGAGATCCTACTGCAGCCTACATTTTTCACTCAATATGTCTTGAGTGTTTGGTCCTGCCATTAAAGTTCTTTATTCATTGTTTTCGAATAGTGCAGTAATTTGCCGTTATTTACTCAGTCATTTCTCTGTTGTTGCTCATTTATTTCCCTTTCCCTTTAAAAATAAGACTGTGATAAGTATCTTTGGGCCATAATTCCCTATCTGCCTTTAGGTTTAAACTAGTTTAAACTGAATTCCTAGAAGTAGGGTTACTGGGCCAAGAGCAACCTATTGATACTAATGCTTGACACTAAATTGCTTTCAGAATGGTTATATCAACTTGCATCCCCACCACTTGAATATATGCTTGCCATGCTCTGAGTATTAGCATTAAAACACACACACACACACACACACACACAAACACACACACACACACACACACACACACACACAAATGAACAAAAAACCTTTACATTTACTAGGCCGAAAAGGAGCAAGGGGGAGGCAGGATTTGGTTTAAACACTTTGTGTTTATTCACCACTTGTGTTTCTTCTCTGGAATATTAATAGTTTTAAGCTTGTACTTCTTTTTTGTTGTTGCGATTTTAGTGTTTTTCTTACTACTAGTTTGTATGTGCCCACCGTGTATTTCTCACTGTTTATTCAACAAACTGAATACTTACTTTTTCCCAGGCCTGTGTTGAACATTGGGGACAAAGCTGTGAACAAGGCTGAAATGATCCTTGCCTTTGTGGAACTTACAGTTTAGTGTGAAAGATGCATTAAATAAGTATATGCATAATTATCAAGGTGATGGATGGTATAAAGAAATACAGGATGCAGTGAGAATATATAGCAGGAGGACACAGGCTAGTCTATAGCAGAGGTTGGCAAACTCCAGCCCACTGCCCGTTTTTATAAATAAAGTTTTATTGGAATTTGGCCATGTTCATTCTTTTACGTATTGTCTGTAGCTGCCTTCCCACTACAATGGTAGAGTTGAGTCACTTCAACAGAGATGATAAGGCCCATAAACCTAAAATATGTATTACCTGGCCCTTTACAGAAAAAGTTTGCTAACTCCTGGTCTAATGGGCCAGGGAGGGCTTCCCTTGGGAACTGATGTTTAAAGTAGGACTTAAAGGTGAGTGAGTGTTAGGTGTGCTAAGGAGAGCCTCCTGGGCCGTGACAGTAGCCGGTGAAGGTCCTGGAGTGGAAAGGAGCGTGTGCTTTCTGAATCACTGACAGAGCCCGCCAGTGGAGCTAGAGTGCAGTGAGCTTTACTAGCTGACACTGGAGAGGAGAGGCCATATATCAGACAGGGACTTAGAGATCATATTCACGCATGGAGTGTGGGATGCAATCAAAGAACCTTATGCAGGGCATACAGATGACCCGATGACCAGAGGTACATTTGAAAACCAGTGCTGAGTGTAGTGTGGAGAACGCGTCGGAAGATGCACGCGTAGACATCGGGAGCCTGGTTAGGAGGCTCTCGCAGTGTCCGATGGGCTGTGCTGGTGACTTAGGTGAGCGTGGTGGCAGTGGGAATAGAAGGAACTGAACAAATGCCAGACATATTTAGAAGATAGAGAGGATAGAACGAATGGGTGGGGTGTGACTGCAGACAGCTGGGTGGATGGGAATGCCATGTATTGAGATGAGATCACGAGCACTGAAGCCTTTTTGCAGGAGATAAGTTCAGTCTTGACCGTGTTGGGTTGGAGCTGCCTTTACAGACATCCGAGTGAGATTGTCAGGGAGGCAGTTGGAAATCTCAGTACTGGGAGCAGTTAGCATGATGGTGCCAGTGCCGGCATTTGAAGGTCCAGTTAGAGGAGGAGGAACTGGCAGGAAGATTAGAAAGAAGGTGGTCGGAGGGTGGACAGTGTGCCATCCAGGAAGCCAGGGGCGGAGAGCTTGTCGAAGTGATCATCTGTGTTGACAGCTGCCGAAAGGTCAGCAAGGTGAGGACTGACAGTTGTCCGTTGGATTTAGTGAGCGTGTGACTGGGTGTGTAGGCTGAGGGGTGACTGTAGATGGAGAGGAAGGGGAGAAACCTGGGGTGGAAGCTCCTGAGGTTTGGCTGTGAAGAGAGAGTGCAGAAGCCTTACGGAGGATGTGAGGTGGAAGGAGGACGGAAGGTGGGAGAGACTGAAGCCCAGGGGAGGGAGAAGGTGTAGAACAGTGGTCCAGCCTCTGTGCATCAGGACCACCTGCGAGCCGTTTGAGAAACAGGGATGCCAGCACCCCTCCCCTCCCATTGGTTCCATCGGTCTTGGATGGAGACCAGGTATACCGTGTTCCAAAGGCTCCCCAGGTGATTCTAATGTGCAGCCAAGGTTGAGAACCAATGGTAGAGAACAGCGGTTCTCAAACTGTGGTCCCTGGACCAGCAGCTTCAGGATCACCTGGGAACTTGTTTGAAATGCAAATTCTCAGGCCCCACGTGGGGATGCTAGTGCACACTGAAGTTTGAGAACCGCTGCTGTAAAGGCTGGTCTACACTTTCAGAAGTCAGAACCATGTAAATCCACCTGCCACATGCCTCCTGGGCCTTCCTGAGTGTCTTCAGCCCCCATTTCTCCAGGCCTTGTGCATTTTTAAGACTATTTAAAACTATATTTAAACTGTGCTTAAAACTGTATTTTAAACTGTATTCGATCCTCAAAAAGAGTCCATAACCCTGCATTCTGTCTGAGTGAAAACTATATTTGGATATTTGAGGAAAACAGTACTGTCAAGAGCCATGTGATCTGAGTCCTATCTCCTAACTCACTTCCAAAGGATATTCTGGAAAGCTGGCAGGTAGTTAAGACGGGATCTAACCTATCTAATCTCACTTGCTCTGAAACACCACTAAAACTATATATAGTAAAGGGATTTTAAAAAGTCATCAGTTACTCCACGACAGGAAGCCCAGAGAGGGAAACAAGAGCAATCAAATACTAGAAGCTGGAGAACAGAAGAGTGGCAACTGACAGCTGGAACCAGCAGTGGGGTGACATGGAGGAATAAGTCTCCACTGCTTATGCTGCAGATGCCTCCAAGACTCAGCGGCTGGCAGTTCCAGGTGTCTCCAGAATGGGCGGGAGGGCTGAAGGGGAGGTGGGGCTAAAATGAATGAGATGGGCAAAAATGCTGAGAAGCAGTTAGAGCCCAAGCTGTCCTGTCCGACTCTACTCAGAGGTTTCCCCTCGTGGGTAGAGGTCTGGAAGCTTCTTCTCTGGAGGGGTAGACAGAAGGTCTTGGAGTAAGGCGGCTGCCAGGCCTCATGGGGGCTGCACGCTGCATGCCGAGGGTGGAGAGACGGAAGTGGGTGGTGGAGGTCCCTGGAAGGCCAGAGTCTGGCGGTGTAGGTGAACACACAGGCCAGAAGAGCAGGCTCACGTGCCTGGGTGGAGTGGCTACTTGAGCTAGAGACGTGGTGGGGGACTGAGTAGTTTCAGGGCCAGGTATGCTGCTGAGAGTGGACGGTTCAGGTGGAGGGAGAGGGTCATTGGAGGCGAGGAGGCCCAGGAATTGAGACACCAGAGTGTTGGGTGGGCCATCCACGCTCTTCAGATCACCCAGAGCAAGTGCAGGAGGCAGGCCGAGGCAGGTGCCACAGTCGGAGCCATCCTGGAGCACAGTGAGGGCGGGCAGCCCTGTGGGCCCTCCGTGGTCTCCAGTGGAGCAAGGGCGGCTTAGAACTAGATGCGGACTCGGGTGGCCTCGCTGCCGTGTTCTTAACCAAATATTTGATGCTCATCATTTAAAACATTTATGAAAACCCTATACATCTAGGTGTTTACAGTTTCTGTTCACTTTTGAATTGTAATTTCCGATGCAGAATAACCTCATGTAGGACAGAGTGCTGTAAGACTAGGATTCTGCACCCTCATTTGGGACCCTTCTGGCCGTGGGGCTGAGGAGTGTTCTAGGTGAGCTGTGGGCATGTCGGGGCTCTCAGGTTAGACCTCCGCCCTCTGCACTAGAGCGGGAGGCCAAGCCATAGAACCTGAGTGGTGGGTCCCCTCAGAGTTGAAGGTTCTGGGGGATTCTGGAGAGGTAAGAAGAGTCGTACAGAGGCCTGAACAAAGCAGGTCCCACAGATTACTCTCGTTTTTTATTTTTTTCCTTTTTTCTCATGGAAGGAGAGAAGATATTTGGGCATTCCATGGTCCGAAGTTGAAATTCTACTTAATTTTGTAGCTTGTGTGAACTAGTTTCATGTCCTAAAATAACAGCTTTTTTTTTTTTTTTTAACAAGCACATCTCCAGCTTTGGGATAGTGAATATTCTGTCACCGGTTCTTACTTTTGGTTTGGCCTTTTTCATTCCAGCTCTATTACCAGGTCTTAAACTTTGCCATGATTGTGTCTTCTGCTCCGAAGTTGAAATTCTACTTAATTTTGTAGCTTGTGTGAACTAGTTTCATGTCCTAAAATAACAGCTTTTTTTTTTTTTTTTACAAGCACATCTCCAGCTTTGGGTTAGTGAATATTCTGTCACCGGTTCTTACTTTTGGTTTGGCCTTTTTCATTCCAGCTCTATTACCAGGTCTTAAACTTTGCCATGATTGTGTCTTCTGCGCTCATGATCTGGAAAGGCCTGATCGTCCTCACTGGCAGCGAGAGTCCCATCGTGGTAGTGCTGAGGTGGGTGCCGCCGGCCGTCCTGCTGCTGCCCAGGACCCAGGAGCAGCGTGGACAACCCAAACTCGGTGTTTTAATTGGATAGAGTTTTCTTTCTTGATATCTGTTTTGAGAAGGTTTCTTTTTTTTTTGGCTTTTGTTGAAAAATCTTTTTCAATAGACAGTTGAGGCCTTTCATCATGCTGATGCCTGTGGTCCAGTGCAATGTGATTCACTTTCATGTTTTAATGTTTTAATCCATGTTAAATGACATTTTAATAAGATAGTAATAATACATTATTTGTGTACACATTGATTTTTAAACATAACTAATTTAAAGCTCTTACTTGGTTCTCTCTGTCCTGCGTGGGCAGGGAGTCTGTGCCCAGCATGGTGTCTGGTGTTTGCTCAGGTTTCTTCAGCAGCGCTGTGGTAGCTGACTCCTCTCTTCTCAAGACTCTCAACACTTTTACTCTTAGAAAGCACAGCGTATTCATCTTAGAAAAGTTTATACTTTAACTTCCCAGAGCCATGAAGTCATCCAAGGGGAAAAACTTAACAGTCAACTTGAAATTAAATAGCGTGTTTGTGAGCCCTTAGGTGCTTGGACATGCTCTGCTCACTGTGCCTTAGATCGCTGAGTCTCCCTGCAGTGGGAGTGGAGCCCTGTTGTTCCACAGGGGGAGCAGCGGGCTGGAGCAGTGACGCGGGCAGGGTCACCGCTGGCCAGAGCAGGAGAACCAGCACGCAGGCTTCTTGGCTCCCAAGTCAGTGCCCTTTCCCTCCTCTGGGCCCCGCTGTCACGTGATGGGGCAACAGCTCTGGCCCGGGCTTCACCAGGCTGCCCTTCTGTGGCTGGCCAAGGGGCCTGCATCTAGAGATGTAGCATTTTCATAAACTTAGGAGCCTGGGGATGGCATAGTTCACACACACAGCTGAGGGGGCCTCTAATTCACTGATGTTTACACTGTGCTCCAGGGGTGCCTGAGGGTCCAGGTGGATGGGTTAGGAGGGAAAAGGTGACCAAGCTCATGGACTATAAACATCTTAGCCTTGCTTCGGTTGTGACAGCTCCACTTTTATGTACTTTATGTGACTATACTTTACCTGGTAAGATTTCATTTGAAGGAAGGATTTTAAGGCTTTTGAAAAAAAGAAAAAATTAAACCCCTCAAATTCAGATGGGCCCAACAAATACGGAAGCTGAGGTCCAACAAGGCCAAGTCGCCCGCATCCCACAGTTACTTACGGCAGAGCCAGAACTCGGTCCGAGGTGTTCCAGCCCGTCTTCAATCACACAGACACACTTGCATGCAGAGATTATTGTGAAATTGCAGTACATGGGGACTTTTTTTTTTTTTTTAAAGCATCCTTTACAATTCTAAAGCAATTTGGTTTGTCAGCATAAACTGTTGACATCACAAGGGATGTGTGACCTTGGGGAACACTGACCTTGGGGGAATCCCTGGCCCTTGAGGAAAGCAAGTGTAAGTTGTTATTAGTGAAACATTTCAAAGGACTGCCTTCCTAATGGGGCACGATAGTGACCCTTGCTGCCAAACTGCAGTGCACTCATGCTGCCTCTGAGACTTGTTCAGGGAGTTTTTTTTTTAAACTGCTGTCCTTGTTATCACAGACTGAGATGGTTTTCTAGAAACTTCTTCCCACTGCGTGTCTTCAGGAATTTTGTCAAAGGAGTAAAGATGAAGCAGTAGATGAAGAAATTATCCTAAGCATTTTAGCCGTCGTCGGCTTTTACTTCAAAGAGTCCACATTTTTCTTAGTTCTTTTTCTACCTAATACAAACTGCAGAGCGACCTGCTAGTGCCCTTTTCATACTCAAATCCAAGAAGAAATCGCTCCCTTTCTCACCATTATCACCTTGAGCAGTCAGAAGGAAATTGCTGTGGTTTGTTTTATAGCTCATAGACCTACCTGCTTGACTGTTGATGAAAGTTGATATTCTAAATGGTATGTTTGTTGTATTCTTTATGGGTTGAAATGTTCACCTGGTGTGAACATAATTCTGATGTGACTTTGTGTTTCTTTGCAGTGGCAGCATGGAGCCAGCCTTTCACAGGGGCGACCTTCTGTTCCTAACAAATTTTCGAGAAGACCCGATTAGAGCTGGTGAAATCGTTGTTTTTAAAGTCGAAGGCCGAGACATTCCAATAGTTCACAGAGTAATCAAAGTTCATGAAAAGTAAAGAGGCTTTACTTTTCTCTTTGGTTTTGTTTTGTAGACAAAACTGTGGACAGTTTGAATGGTTGATTAGAAAGTAGCAGAAACACTGGATTATGTTCCTAGTTTTGCCATTTAGTAATTGGGTGACATTGAACCTGCTACTTAACTGAGTCTGTAAGATGGGAATAATACTTTACCCCTAGTAACTCACAGGGTGATTATGTGAATGAAATGAACTGACGTTTACTAAAGCACTTGAAAAACTTGAATTGCTGCACAACGTACGCTGGAATGTATTCTTGCAGAATATTAGTTATTTGAAGGAGTCTCAAAGAAAATCAAATCTCGTGGTAATTGAGGATGATTTTCCTAAGAGAATTATCTTCGGAAATGCGGAAAGCTACCTGTTTCTCAGTGTCACTTTGGACAAACTGGCATTCTCAGCAGTAATATTAGCCCTGGATGAATAAAAATTCCTTTCCCCATCTCTTCCCATGATTTGATCATTGCACATCCTGCATTAATTCTCCCCGCCACAAATGACTTTGCCTTTTCCTTAAATGCCAGTGATGACTTATTAAAACACTTCTTGGGAACCAGAAACAATGACTTCTGGCTCAAACATATTAAGTTTCCATGAGAGAGTACGGTCACGTGATTAGCGAAAACGTTACATATGTGGTTATTCATTTACCTTTATGCAGCTTAGTATAGCATTTTACCTGCATGAGTTATGGGATTAAAGTTAGGTATATATATTTGTATTTTTTAAATAAGGGAGCATTGCTCATCCTTTGTGTGTGTGTGTGTGTGTGTGTGTGTGGTGTTTGTGTCTGTGTGTCTAACTATTTGTACATTTCTGATACGAGATTCTCATTCCATTCACTGCTTCCAGGTGTTCCCCAAAGACGTTTGATACTAAAAATATTCACTTCATTTTACTCTAAACATTAGAATGATGTTTCAGTTTGTGTTAATACACTGGTACTGCACTAACATTACGTTGTTAGTGGTACTTGTTAACTTACTGATGAAGAAATATGCTCAGTCATGATGCAACAGAACTCGCACCTGATTTTAAAACAATGTCCAAAGATGGGAAATTGTGCGTTTCCTGTAGAGCTGCACTAGCCAATGAGTTTGCCACCAGCAGTATATGGTTACTGAGCACTTGAAATGTAACTAGTGTGAAATATACACAAGGTTTCAAAGACTTAGTACCAAAAAGACAGAGAATATCTCAATAATAATTTTAGATTGATTATATGTTGAAGGAACACTTTTGATATATTGAGTTAAATAAAATATATTATTAAAATAAAAGAAAAACAAAGATGAGAAATTGTTCAGAATTAAGGAAATAATGATGCTTTGCTGTAATTTTCATGAATTGTGAGAGATGGCCCGGGTTTTTCTACTCTTAATTTATTTTATAACCATGGTTGCAAATCAGCTCACTCTTTTTGGTGTGGTTTCAAATCTTTGTGGGCTTTTAATATTTTATCAAATTATTTAGTGCATTTTCTCATTTGTCTTATTGAAAAAAGACCCTCTTTATAGCTCTATAAGGCTATAATACTGTGTTTCTAGTATCAAGGCTGTGTAAGCACCAGTTTACAATGTTTAAAATGAATCCCCCCTGTCTCTTTAACACAGTGGTTTTATGCTGTTTGTAATTCCTGTTTGTTTGCAAACTGGATTGTAATCCACTTTGCTCAGTGGTGAAGGAAATAAGGCATTAACACATCCTACATTTGGTAAGGAAAAATAAGCTTGAGGAGAGCTAAGAGCACATTTGTGTTTAAATTACCTTGTGCTCAAATCTGTGTAATCTGGGACCAAGTTCATGTGTCGAGTGAAGAGGAATATAATCTGTGTTAACCAGTTGGTCCGTGGGGATGAAGAATGGATGGGAACAGATGCTGGAGCTAAGCATTGCCTTCCTGGTGCCCTTGTGCTTCGCCATGCTTTTTGGTTATCAGGGTAACTTAAGTGTTTTAGAATTTAAGTCTACAAAATTGTCATTAGATTTGTGCTTTAGTTGAATGGTTGTCTGCCAGCAAGCATCTTAGACCAAGAAAGATCAAGTTATCTTTGACTGCTTTTCTCAGTGCCCATATCTGCCTGTAAAGTGTTGGCCAAGCTAATACTTTTCTAACGATGCTGTGCTGAAAATAACTTTTGAAAGGACGTTGTTTTGCTTTCCAGAGATAATGGAGACATCAAATTTCTGACTAAAGGAGATAATAATGAAGTTGACGATAGAGGCTTGTACAAAGAAGGCCAGAACTGGCTCGAAAAGAAGGATGTGGTGGGGAGAGCCAGAGGGTGAGTGAGGATTACCTTTTAAGTTATACAGAAGATTCAGAAACCAGAAAAATATTTAGAAACAAAGAAACCAAGGTTAATAGAATTATTCATTACAAAGATTATACGTCAGGAGAGTTGTAAGCAGTTTTACTTTGTACTGTAAAGACTAAACAAAATTCAGAACTTCGTAAGGACCTAAAATCTAAAGCTGAATGCAAGTGTGCTATCTATATCATGGGTTTAATTCTATTTTTGAAATAAATCCTCACCTCGAGATTATTTATAGATTTTAAATAACAATTATAAGAAATCCTTTGAGAAATAACTACTGTGTAACACTGTGATGAGTATTCTAGATATTCCTTGTACCTATATAGATGTGTGTATGCATATATAATATATAATTTTACATAGAAGAGTTTTATTTTTTCACCCAACAGAAAGTTGCAGATAGCTTTCTGTGTCAAATCTACACCTATATCTTTTTTTTTTTTTTTTTTTTTTGCGGTACGCGGGCCTCCCACTGTTGTGGCCTCTCCCGTTGCGGAGCACAGGCTCCGGATGCACAGGCTCAGCGGCCATGGCTCACGGGCCCAGCCGCTTTGCGGCATGTGGGGTCTTTCTGGACCGGGGCACGAACCTGTGTCCCCTGCCTCGGCAGGCAGACTCTCAACCACTGCGCCACCAGGGAAGCCCTACACCTATATCTTTTTAAACGACTGCATGGTGTTCCTCTGAGAATCATAACTGAATTCACTAGTCCTCTTTTGGTCAACATTTAGATTATCTCCTGGTTTTTACTACTAAGAAAAGTTCTGTGATAAAATTTTTAATACCCATCTTTGCATAATTGTTCCAGGCATGAGTTCTGCTTCTGATTGACACAGCAGAGAGTCTGTCCTGTTATTAAATACCAAAAAAGGAGATTCTCCCCGTCTCTTGGTGACCCTTTTTATATTTAACCCTTTCTAGAAATGTCTCCTTTTATTGAAATCCCACCAGCTGTGTAAGGCTGGAGAACACCGGTGACTGTTTTCTAAGATGCAGCTTTATTCATCAGCTCGTAGTTTAAGGCCTCTTTCGACCCCTTTCCTCCCTCTGCTCACCTTTTAGCCATTTCTCCTCTATTGCAATAATCCCACCTGAATATCTGCAGGGAGATGACAGAGACCTGCAGCTGGTCAGTCCTGTATTTCTAGACACTCTGGTGAGAGGCTGTGTATAAGTGAGAGGTTGACGCTACTGATTTTAAAGCAGACTGGAGGGTACTAAGGGAGTGTTACCTTGTTTCCTATCAGTGACATGATTGAGACTTGAGTCAAACTGATTCCATATTGACATTAATTTTGTCAGCATGATCATTGGCTGGTTTATCCTGGCTTATCCTCTCTGGGATCATAATCGTGTTTGGCTATAAATTACGGGATTCACATTTGTGTTCACTGCCCAACCGACTTCTTTGTTACATGTGAAAAGTGCTGTGCAATGGAAATGATGAGGATTCCTTCAGTTACAAACTCTTGGGTTGCCAAAAAGTTTGTTCGGGTTTTCCCGTAAGATCTAAACCCGAACGAACTTTTTGGCCAATCCAATAATTATTCATGTGCTTTCAAAGCTCTCTCGCACAGCAGTTTACATATAGGCTATCTGAATCTTACATCTCTACTAAGAAAAATTAAGAACTCGATTTGCCCTTTCTGTTGTACAAGTGGCTCAACTAATTATTTTCATTCTGTTAGGATGAAATGCAGCAAGTGAAGACAAGTAGCGTCTCTAGATCCTAAATTGCCTTCTTAAAAAGTTGTCCTGGCTGTTAGCGCTAATGCTTTTTACTAACAAAACCTTCTGAGACAGGAGTGAATATTGTTTTTATGGCCCCAATCAGTGTTGTTCCCAAGGAGGACTTTTTCCTCTGCTGATTTGTAGTGTTTTCAAGTATTGCTATCATTATATTACAAACACTTTTTACACTTCTGGCTTTTTATCCCACAATTTAGGTTTTTACCATATGTTGGTATGGTCACCATAATAATGAACGACTATCCAAAATTCAAGGTAGGAATTTATGTGTACGTCTTTATTTTTTAAGAGAACATTGGCGCTTTTACACTTGCAACTGTAAAGATGCAGAGTCTGTTACGAATGTTTTGCTAGCTAATTCTTCTGCAGAGTATTTGTAGTTAATTACAAATTAATATACTCATTTAAATGATCAGTTTTAAATGATTGAAATTAACTATTGAAAGTAAGTACTTCCACCTTTTACGTTTATATAGTATGCTCTAAAATAGCACCTATATATTTTTTGCTTTTTATTATGGAAATCTTTAAACATACGAAAAAAGTCGTACAATAATCCCAGTAATGCTTATTTCCCAACTTCAACAAAAATAATATCCATATTTTTTTTTTTTTTTTTTTTTGCGGTACGCGGGCCTCTCCCTGTTGTGGCCTCTCCCGTTGCGGAGCTCAGGCTCCGGACGCGCAGGCTCAGTGGCCATGGCTCACGGGCCCAGCCGCTCCGCGGCATGTGGGATCCTCCCGGACTGGGGAACGAACCCATGTCCCCTGCATCAGCAGGCGGACTCTCAACCACTGCGCCACCAGGGAAGCCCCCGTATATTTTTTTTAATCACTTGAAACACAGTAGGAAACCTACACATGAATGAGTAGGTACATTAGCAGTGTTTGTTGGGTGTGTGATCCTTGGTCCATCAGTATATTTGGGGGTTTTAACTGTTACGTGGAGAACACTGTTCTCTCATTTGGAGAACAAAGCATGTGGAAGAGGTCATCTTTTGATCCTGTCCTCAGTCCAGTATTGACCAGACTTTATTTGAATACATTTATAGACCAAATTTATTTGTAGTCCTCACAGTAATTTTCCACTGTGTTTTCTTTGCAGTACGCTCTTTTGGCTGTAATGGGTGCATATGTGTTACTAAAACGTGAAGCCTAAAATGAAAGGCAATTCCTGGGACCAGACAGAAATAAATTCTGTTGAAAAAGAGAAAAGCTAATATATTTGAAATGTTCCACTTTCTGTATAAAAGGAAACAAAGTGGAGACGTTTTTGTCTTGTTTGAATAAACGATTCATCAGTGATGATTGTTTTCTTTTGTGGACTCTGATTTGAATGTGCTCAATCTCTCTGCTTCTCATCGTAATCATTCTAAACCAAGCTTGAGGGTCTGCAGCACTTCAAAAATCAGGCAGGCCGTCTCTGGGCCTGGCCTGCTAGTGGGATAATGCATAGTCCAAACGTGGTATAGTTGTAACACCTGAGTTTCAAAAATAAAATTCTTCTCATAGCATTTCCAGGGGAAACAGGCCCTTAAAAGAAAATGATTTCTTATTTATTGAAGTGTAGTCTGATAAACGAATAAAACCTAAAACCTTTTTAGAAGGAAAGGTGTAATCTGCTTTGTTCTTGTGGTCTGGTGTATCTTGAGATGGTTGGATAAATTATTTGAGAAGTGTCTGATAAATTAAAACAACAGTGCGTACTCCTTTGACAAACTGCACAAAGCACAGAAGGGTAGAAGGGCTGTGTCCTTTTTCCCCGCAGTCTTCCCTTCCATTTCCCAGGGATCTCCGCTGTTACAGTTTAGTTTCGTTATCTTTGCACTATACGCAGTCCTGAATATAAAATAGTCCCTCGTTAAACCAACTTTCAGACCCTCGTGTCCCAGCTGCTGCCTTAGGTGCTAGGGATACTGAGTCCCAGCCTGGATGGAGGTTCCAGTGTAGTAGAAGGAACAGGTGATAAACTGACGTGTGATTTCAGGAGAGACAGTTGCTGTGGGAAAGAAGCAGATAGAGGGTGCTTTTCACATGGGTCAGGGAAGACCTCTGAGGAGGGGACATAGAGCAGAGTTAAAGGAGAGGAGGGGACTTCCCTGGTGGTCCAGTGGTTAAGACTCTGTGCTTCCACTACAGGGCGCAAGGGTGGGGCAAAGGTTTGGCAAGGGTTCAATCCCTGCTTGGGGAACTAAGGGCCAAAGAAAAAAGAAAAAAATAGAAACACTCCCAGGGAACACTGGTGCTGCTGGTGCCCGGACCACACTGCAAAGTGTTAAGGGAATAAAAAGGAGGCCAGTGGTATTTTCAGATACTCTCTTCAGTTTTGCCAAAACGTTCTCTCTTCACCGAACAATACGATGTTGACATCCTTTTCAGTCAGAACTTAGAAATCTACCTCATTCTTTCAGCTTTGTTCAATTCTGATCTAACAATTTAGAATCCTGCCTGGTGGTCACTTAACCACCCACGGGCCTTGAGCATAACTTCCCTCAACCTCAAATGGAAGATGAGAACTGCTCTCACCTCCTTGCGTGTCCCCAGGAATTAGTAGATGATTCCTTAGCCCAGTGCTGCCCATGTACACAGTTTGCACTCAGTACGTGTCACCCATGGTTACGTGTGTTTTCCTCTTCGGCATAACCTGTACCTTCACACACCTGTACAGTCGCTTTGTGACTGAGCTGTGATTTGGGGAAGACCAGCAGGTGTGATCCGTGGCGGGTAGCCTGCCCTTTAATCCTTAATCTCTGCTAAAAATAGGCTATTGCAACAATAATGGACCTCATCCTGTTGAAATCAGTGACGTGAAAGAAAAATTAACAGGATACTTTCTAAAAACATTATTCTCTGGTGCCCTTTAATAAACTCTTTTTTAAGAAAAATAGGTTTTTCTTCCCTGAACTAAAGGTGGAATTTCAAAATGTTGGGTCAAAACTTTATTATTTTATCATCTTTCTGGGGTTATGTAGCTGGATAATATAAACTTTAAAAAGCTCTGTAATGTGGCTAAGCTTTTCGGTAACCCTTTGAACATGCCTGACGTTCTGAAATAAACTTTACAAAGACAGGTAAGAACCCAGACACAGTTCAGCCAGTGCCATTTGATTGTGGCTCGTTAGAAAGTATGATCTCTTTTGGCCTTTTAGAGGCTACTGGTCTTTATCAAATGGAAATGATGGAAGTTAATGCTGGATCGATGTTCTTTTATCTGGAGTCTCAGTTGCAGCCTCGATGTCTGGAACGAGAACCAGGCCTGTATCTGGGCAGACAAAACTAGCACTGCGGTGTGGCAGTGGATTCACAGAGTGGAACCTCTTGCTGGGAGCTTCTGTTTTTTTCTTGGACACACATTTCTCATGTGGTTGAGCAACTGCTTTTCTACTTCACGACAGCTTAGAAACCTCAAGGTGAAGGTGTCCGGTGGACACTGGCCAAGCAAGGATATCCACTGAGAAGGGAGAAGACCAAGTATAAAAAACAGTGCAAGAGGCTTCCCTGGTGGTGCAGTGGTTGCGGGTCCGCCTGCCGATGCAGGGGACACGGGTTCGTGCCCCGGTCCGGGAAGATCCCACATGCCGCGGAGCGGCTGGGCCCGTGAGCCATGGCCGCTGAGCCTGCGCGTCCGGAGCCTGTGCTCCGCAAACGGGAGAGGCCACAACAGTGAGAGGCCCGCGTACCGCAAAAAAAACCCAAAACAAAACAGTGGAAGGATTTCAAGACACCACCTAGTGGAGGGACAGACAGCCCATGTCTCAGCTCACAAAGGCCTCAGTGATACACAAGGACACTTACACAGAAGCTAAATGGTGTTTGCTATACTGTATTTTAAGATCGATTTCGGTTTCTATCAGAAACTGGAAATTTTCTACTGTGGAATTAAGCTTCAGTTTTTTAAAAAGGTTAGTGGTGGAACCTCTGATATCCCAACCCACAGGTCTCAGTCCTGCCTTTTTCCCTTTGACAGTGAATGTGTCAGTCCTATGCAGATGCTAGACACACACACACCCTGAAACGACCAGATAGTGGGCTCTAAACTCCTCTATAAAATTTTTGCCACTGTCCCCAACAAGCAGGCCTGGGCAGATGAAACATTCTTTGCAAAGTGGAAGAAGTCTGACTTTTAAGTAAGCCACAGGTAGAAGAATCTTTAAATAAAGAGAAGCAAGCCTGGCATCTGCTCCATTGAAAAGTCCCCAGCTGAGTCATGCGGCCAGGGTTGAAGACCACTGGGAAACGTCCGCACAGATTAGTCAGGAGGAAATGTGATTAGGATGCTTGATTGTTCACATCTTCCATTTCGTCTTCATGAAGTCATTTGCAGATTGCATGGTAGGAAAAAGCCAGACATGCACCGTTTCTATGTGCTATCCTCTCCCCTCCATTTCCCACACCCAACTGATGCTAGCCATCTTGATTAATGGTCTCCTGGTTTCTGCTTCAGTACCTCGTCTTACTAAGTAGCCTTTGGCCCAGCGCACGGGTCGGTCTGTTTAGTCTCATCCTGAAAATCCAGGCGGAGATCCATCCATCCCCACTCTGTGGTTTCAGCAGTTCCCTTAGTTTCCAATGAGAGGCATGGGGACGGGGTGGGGGGTGCAGTGGAAAGAGGCTCTGGAGTCACCGTGGTTTAAGCCTTGCCTCCACCTACTAGATATGTAGCTTGTAACTGATGAGACTCAGTTTCCTTATGTCCAGAATGAGTGTCCAGGTGGGCGAAGGATTTGTTAGATGCTTGGTTTTCATCAAACAGGTCTTTTTACGCTTTCTTCCTCAAGATCACTGGAGTTTGAGCACTTAGAATTTGTTTATTTTTTAAGCTCCCAAATCCTCTTGAACATTCTTCCCTATCATTTTTGGCCGTGAATTCTACCTACGTTTTCTCTGGATTTTAAATCTGCTTCCCTGCATTGTTGCAGACATTTCAGTGACAGGGACATTTGCCCCCAGAGCCTTTGCTTTTAGTCACATGAAGCTTCAGGAAGATGTAGGAGAGGGGAAGGCCCTTTGCCACGTGATCTTGGTGGCAAAGCCTTCTGTTGTAGAGTTTTCTCTGGGCTTCTTGCCCTTCAGTCCTCACCCAAACACTGTCCACTACATGCCTCTTGTCAGGTGTAATCGTCTCCCTACAGGTGTTTAGCTTTTGCCATACGGCAGGAATTTTGGGGAACAATTTAGAGCAGTTTTAGGTCCACAGCAAAATTGAATAGAAAGTACCAGACGTTCCTCCCTGCCCCACAAATGCACAACCCCCCCTACTATCAAAGCCCCTACTATCAAAGCCAGCATGGTAGTATATTTGTTACATTTATGAACCTACATTACACGAAGTTATCACCCAAATTCCGTAGTTTACATCAGGGCTCACTGGGTTTTTTTGAATTTTATTTAATTTATTTTTTTATACAGCAGGTTCTTATTAGTTATCCATTTTATACATATCAGTGTATACTTATCAATTCCAATCTCTCAATTCATCCCACCACCACCTCCCGCCCTCCACTTTCCCCCTTTGGTGTCCATACGTTTGTTCTCCACATCTGTGTCTCTACAGGGCTCACTCTTGGAGTTGTACATCTTATGAGTGTTGACAAATGTGTCATGACATGTATTCACCATTGTGGTATCATCCAGAATAGTTTTACTGCCCTAAAAACCTTCTGCCTATTCATCCATCCCTCCCCCCACCTCTAGCAACAACTGATCTTGGTCCTGTCTCCATAGTTTTGCCTTTTACAGAATGTAAAACAAGCAACACCGCAAAACAGAAAAGAAAATCCTCTGGACACCCTCTCTACTCCACTCAACGTTCTTTGGTTCTCTCAGGTGCTCTGGGGCCCCAGGTGGCCTCTCTGGGATCTCATGCCTTGAGGACATAGCTCCTAAACGAATATGCAAACAGTAGTAACTAATAGGGGCTTATTATCTACCTCTCAGGAGTATTTACATTTTAGTCATGAATTTGTGCAAATGCTCAAGGCCTTACACGTGGGGTCATTACAGATGCGGATGCCCAAGTAGCTGAGATAGAAAAATCAGAGGTTTGGAGGAGTGGGAGTTCCCCAAGTCTCTGGAATCACGCTTTTGCTTTGGTTACATGGCAGGGATTATGTCTGAGCTGATGCAGCCCTTGCACAGCTGCTCATAACCACGACCTGCTGAAAACGGATTTATGCAAAATGCCTGCCACCAACCCACCCTGCTGCCACACACACGCCCACATGTGTGCAGGTAAGCGGCTTTTGATGGATTAGCTAGTTTAAAATTTCGGTCTGAAATTGGTTAAATAAAAAAAATCAAAAT